TGTGTGCGTGTGTGGGTGTGGGTGTGTGTGTGAGGGTGTGTGTGTGTGGGTGTTGGTGTGTGTGTGTGTGTGTGTGTGCGGTGTACTCACCTATTTGTACTCACCTATTTGTGGTTGCAGGGTCGAGTCTTAGCTCCTGGCCCCGCCTGTTCACCGGTTGCTACTGGGCCCTCTCTCCCCCCGCTCCATGAGCTTTATATCAAACCTCGTCTTAAAACTGTGTATGGTTCCTGCCTCCACTACGGTCATTTTCTAGGCTAATTCCACTGCCTTACAACTCTATGACTGAAGAAATAACTTCCATAATATCTCTCTGACTCATTTGTGTCTTCAACTTCCAATTGTGGCCTCTTGTTTCTGTGTCCCCTTCCTGGAACATCCTGTCTTTGTCGCCTTGTCTATTCCACGCAGTATTTTATATGTCGTTATCATGTCTCCCCTGACCCTCCTGTCCTCCAGTGTCGTCAGGCCGATTTCCCTTAATCTTTCTTCATAGGACATTCCCTTAGCTCTGGAACTAACTTGTCGCAAACCTTTGTACTTTCTCTAGTTTCTTGACGTGCTTTATCAAGTGCGGGTTCCAAACAGGTGCTGCATACTCCAGTATGGGCCTGACATACACGGTGTACAGTGTCTTGAACGATTCCTTACTAAGGTATCGGAATGCTGTTCTCAGGTTTGCCAGGCGCCCATATGCTGCAGCAGTTATCTGGTTGATGTGTGCTTCCGGAGACATGCTCGGTGTTATACTCACCCCAAGATCTTTCTCCTTGAGTGAGGTTTGCAGTCTTTGGCCACCTAGCCTATACTCGGTCTGTGGTCTTCTGTGCCCTTCCCCTATCTCATGACTTTGCATTTGGCAGGATTAAATTCGAGAAGCCATTTGCTGGATCAGGTGTCCAGTCTGTCCAGGTCTCTTTGAAGTCCTGCCTGGTCCTCATCAGATTTAATTCTCCTCATTAACTTCACATCATCTGCAAACAGGGACACTTCTGAGTCTAACCCTTCCATCATGTTGTTCACATATACCAAAAATAGCACTGGTCCTAGGACCGACCCCTGTGGGACCCCGCTCGTCACAGGTGCCCACTGTGATACATCATACGTACATGACTCGTTGTTGTCTCCCTGTCAGGTATTCTCTGATCCATTGCAGTGCCCTTCCTGTTATATGCGCCTGATGCTCTAACTTCTAATCTCTTGTGAGGAACTGTGTCAAAGGCCTTCTTGCAGTCCAAGAAGATGCAATCAACCCACCCCTCTCTCTCGTGTCTTACTTCTGTTATTTTATCATAAAACTCCAGAAGGTTTGTGACACGGGATTTGCCTTCCATGAATCCGTGCTGGTTGGCATTTATACTCTTGTTCCGTTCCAGGTGCTCCACCACTCTCCTCCTGATAATCTTCTCCATAATTTTGCATACTATACACGTCAATGACACAGGTCTATAGTTTAGTGCCTCTTTTCTGTCTCCTTTTTTAAAAATGGGAATGTGGGTGTGTGTGTGCGTGTGTGGGTGTGTGTGAGGGTGTGTGTGTGGGTGTGTGTGTGAGGGTGTGTGTGTGGGTGTTGGTGTGTGTAAGTGTGGGTGTGTGTGTGAGGGTGTGTGTGTGGGTGTTGGTGTGTGTAAGTGTGGGTGTGTGTGTGTGGGTGTGCGTCCTTGTGTGTATGCATATATTTGTACGCTCGTGTGCACATGTCCGTGCGTGCGCCCTGGTGTGTGTATGTGTGCGCGCGCGCTAGTGTGGGTGTATGAACCACTTAATATTTGTATTTATAACTCATTACAATTGTGACCAGGTGTGGACGTATCAGTTGCACTACCGTCCACAGGATGGATATGTTGTTGCACTACCGTCCACAGGATGGATATGTTGTTGCACTACCGTCCACAGGATGGACATGGAGTGCACAATAAACTAGCCACTTCGGTGGCAAAATCTAAACTAACATACTACTATACAGAAAGCCCTTGGTTATATTGAGCATTTCGGGCAAATTAGGTCAGTGTCCCAGGATGCGACCCACACCAGTCGACTAACACCCAGGTACCCGTTTTACTGATGGGTGAAGATAAGATAAGATTTCGTTCGGATTTTTAACCCCGGAGGGTTAGCCACCCAGGATAACCCAAGAAAGTCAGTGCGTCATCGAGGACTGTCTAACTTATTTCCATTGGGGTCCTTAATCTTGTCCCCCAGGATGCGACCCACACCAGTCGACTAACACCCAGGTACCTATTTGCTGCTAGGTGAACAGGACAACAGGTGTAAGGAAACGTGTCGAAATGTTTCCACCCGCCGGGAATCGAACCCGGGCCCTCCGTGTGTGAAGCGGAAGCTTTAGCCACCAGGCCACCGGGCCACAGGTGGAAACAAACACACCCAATGTTTCTACCCTGGCTGGGAATCGAACCCAGAACCTCGCCGTGTGAAGCGAGAGCTTTAGCTACCAGAGCCACTTAAACTTACTTAAACTCTTTGGACGAGGCAGTGGGGAGGCAGACTCAATGCTCAGCTTCAAGAATAGACATGATGAGGCCCAAGAACCTAGAATTGAGAATATAAATATTTCCACAAGGCGGGAGTTGAGTCACGACTCTAGTAACGTCACTCACAGCATTATATATTATGTCACTCACGATTATATCATATATTTCACTCAGAATTATACCATATATTCCTTATACAGGGTCGTACTGTATATTCCACTCAGGGTTAAAATATATATTTCACTCAACGGATTATATTATACATACCACTCTCAGGATTATACCATATATTTAGTCTACAATATTCACACTAAAAGATTATAGACTGGGCTCTGTAAACTAAGGAGGTCTGAGCCCAGGTCAGAGAACCCGGCTCCACCTCCATGGATCAAGAGCCATTCGTTTACCAGCACATTAACAAGCTACTGTTGTTAATGGATTGTTGGAAGATTGTTCTTATATATAATATATATATATATATATATATATATATATATATATATATATATAATATATATATATATAATATATATATAAATATATATAATATATATGTGTGTGTGTGTGTGTGTGTGTGTGTGTGTGTGTGTGTACTCACCTATTTGTGGTTGCAGGGGTCGAGTCCTAGCTCCTGGCCCCGCCTCTTCACCGGTTGCTACTAGACCCTCTCTCTCCCCGCTCCATGAGCTTTATCAAACCTCGTCTTAAAACTGTGTATGGTTCCTGCCTCCACTACGTCATTTTCTAGGCTATTCCACTGCCTTACAACTCTATGACTGAAGAAATACTTCCTACTATCTCTCTGACTCATTTGTGTCTTCAACTTCCAATTGTGGCCTCTTGTTTCTGTGTCCCCTCCCTGGAACATCCTGTCCTTGTCCACCTTGTCTATTCCACGCAGTATTTTATATGTCGTTATCATGTCTCCCCTGACCCTCCTGTCCTCCAGTGTCGTCAGGCCGATTTCCCTAATCTTTCTTCATAGGACATTCCCCTTAGCTCTGGAACTAACCTTGTTGCAAACCTTTGTACTTTCTCTAGTTTCTTGACGTGCTTTATCAAGTGCGGGTTCCAAACAGGTGCTGCATACTCCAGTATGGGCCTGACAATACACGGTGTACAGTGTCTTGAATGATTCCTTACTAAGGTATCGGAATGCTGTTCTCAGGTTTGCCAGGCGCCCCATATGCTGCAGCAGTTATCTGATTGATGTGTGCTTCCGGAGACATGCTCGGTGTTATACTCACCCCAAGATCTTTCTCCTTGAGTGAGGTTTGCAGTCTTTGGCCACCTAGCCTATACTCTGTCTGTGGTCTTCTGTGCCCTTCCCCTATCTTCATGACTTTGCATTTGGCAGGATTAAATTCGAGAAGCCATTTGCTGGACCAGGTGTCCAGTCTGTCCAGGTCTCTTTGAAGTCCTGCCTGGTCCTCATCAGATTTAATTCTCCTCATTAACTTCACATCATCTGCAAACAGGGACACTTCTGAGTCTAACCCTTCCGTCATGTCGTTCACATATACCAAAAATAGCACTGGTCCTAGGACCGACCCCTGTGGGACCCCGCTCGTCACAGGTGTCCACTGTGATACATCATTACGTACCATGACTCGTTGTTGCCTCCCTGTCAGGTATTCTCTGATCCATTGCAGTGCCCTTCCAAAGGACCCCAATGGAAATAAGTAAAGGACCCCAATGGAAATAAGTCACTCTGTCTGACTTTTTTGGGTTATCCTAGGTTCTCTACACATATGCTGCTATGTATGATAATTCTATGTAACTGTATTTGTGTATACCTGAATAAATTTACTTACTTACTTACTTATATGCGCCTGATGCTCTAGCTTCTGCACTAATCTCTTGTGAGGAACTGTGTCAAAGGCCTTCTTGCAGTCCAAGAAGATGCAATCAACCCACGCCTCTCTCTCTTGTCTTACTTCTGTTATTTTATCATAAAACTCCAGAAGGTTTGTGACACAGGATTTGCCTTCCGTGAATCCGTGCTGGTTGGCATTTATACTCCTGTTCCGTTCCAGGTGCTCCACCACTCTCCTCCTGATAATCTTCTCCATAATTTTGCATACTATACACGTCAATGACACAGGTCTATAGTTTAGTGCCTCTTTTCTGTCTCCTTTTTTGAAAATGGGAACTACATTTGTGTTTGTGTGTGTGTGTGTGTGTGTGTGTGTGTGTATACATACATATATATTTATAGTTTATGCTAGTTTAAGATATATGAACGAAGTCCTAATTTATTGTTGATTATTGTAAGATATTAGATGAGTGTTGCAGGAGTTTGTATATATTTTATTTTGAGATTTTTGTTTCATATGTTGGAAATTGTGAAGAGGAAGAAGGATACGAACCTATAACTTTTTAAAGTTTATGGAAGTACATTATTTGTATTATATAAGGTCATATATTTTGTAACTATATAAAACAAGGGCAAATAAGGTTGTTAGTAATGAAGTATAAGGAGGATGAATAATCAAGGTGTTTTAATTGATAGGTTTGTTATCTGTTAGTCAAAATAAACCCCAAGTGGTGGATGCTTGATGTTCGAGGCTTATTTGTGACTCATAAATGAAGCCTCGAGCCCACACAAACCCCAGAGATGGCAGATGAATCCCAGCAGACGCAAGTTAACAGCAGTAATGACGAGGAGAAGTAAGCAGATGTTTGAGTCACATAATAATGTTGATAACTGGTGTAGTGGTCAAGGTTGACGGGGCCACTATGTTCTTGATAACCTTTATGGTCAGGTGGACCTTGATGGTGGTCTGGGGCTCTTGATCCAAGCAAATGTACCCACTATCTCACTCCTTGGATTAAACATGATTATTTCCGTTATTCACGAGCTGTAGTAACCTTAGTGCTTTTTTCTCTCTTCTCCAGTATTAATATAGTTATAATATTAATATACAGTGTCCCTATCAAGGGAGGTGCCTTGATACTGGTGAGAGGCTCTTGATCCAAGGACTCGAACTTTCTCTCTCCCCATCCTATCATCACACTCTATTACCTCTCATACCCCATGCACTATGTAACCCCTACGGATTTAACACTTTCTCCTAGATATAATAATGATAATGGTTGATACTTTACAGTGTACATAAATTATACTGATCAAGTTTGTTATGGAGACCATCAGCATATTTTAACAAATATTCTTAGTTGACTGGTAGGAAAGTTCTTTAATGTTAATTATTATTATTTCAGTTGGGTTATACATTAAACTGTAATGTATTACCTCTTTATACCCATACCCTTCAAGAGTGCTAACATAAGATTTTCTTCGGATTTTTAACCCTGGAGGGTTAGCCACCCAGGATAACCCAAGAAAGTCAGTGCGTCATCAAGGACTGTCTAACTTATTTCCATTGGGGTCCTTAATCTTGTCCCCCAGGATGCGACCCACACCAGTCGACTAATACCCAGGTACCTATTTGCTGCTAGGTGAACAAGACAACAGGTGTAAGAAAATGCGTCAAAATGTTTCCACCCGCCGGGAATCGAACCTGGGCCCTCCGTGTGTGAAGTGGGAGCTTTAGCCACCAGGCCACCGGGCTTTGATGCTAGTGAAGGGCTCTTGATCCAAAGTTCCAAACAGTTGAAACTACCCTAATTATTTATAATAAATGAACATAACATAATAATTGCTGGAGATTTCATCAATAGGCTTATCCAAATAGAAAATTAACAACAAATATAATTACTTGCTCTGTCTGTAATTAAGCCCACAAGAATTTCTTAGACTTGCATCATCACTAGACCATATCTGGGTCAATATAATGGTTCTTTTCAAAGCAGAATAATCAAAGACTATATTACTGATCACTACCCCACTTTCCTCATAATCAACATAAGTAAACTGCCACTCCAAAATACATGTAGTAAAATCTCATTCCGACTTAATAATGAGACATCAGTTAATAACTTCATTACAGCAGTCGGAGACCTTGATTGGTAGAGAGAGTTTACTGACAATCGTGACCTTAATATATGTGCCAGTGTTTTTCTCCCCCCCCCCCCCAAAAAAAAAAAAAGACTCTACAATTGGTAATGTCCTTTAAAAACCAGCAGACAGCAAAGAGATTAAATAGACCATAGCCAACAAACAGCATACTCAAATCCATTGACAGAAAACATAACTATCAGAAACAATACAGATTAGGACTAATATCCCAAGAACAGTAAAAATATTACACATCAATACTCGCCAAACTTATAAAGGAGTCTAAACAACTGTACTATGCTAGCAAGTTTAATGAAGTGAAAGGTTACTGAAAGCAGTGAAGAGTTTTTACGAGGATAGTGAGGCTCAAGTTAGAGTATGTAGGAAAGAGGGAAATTATTTCTCAGTAAAAGTAGGCCTTAGACAAGGATGTGTGATGTCACTGTGGTTGTTTAATATATTTATAGATGGGGTTGTAAGAGAAGTAAATGTGAGGGTCTTGGCAAGAGGCGTGGAATTAAAAGATAAAGAATCACACATAAAGTGGGAGTTGTCACAGTTGCTCTTTGCTGATGACACTGTGCTCTTGGGAGATTCTGAAGAGAAGTTGCAGAGATTGGTGGATGAATTTGGTAGGGTGTGCAAAAGAAGAAAATTAAAAGTGAATACAGGAAAGAGTAAGGTTATGAGGATAACAAAAAGATTAGGTGATGAAAGATTGGATATCAGATTGGAGGGAGAGAGTATGGAGGAGGTGAATGTATTCAGATATTTGGGAGTGGACGTGTCAGCGGATGGGTCTATGAAAGATGAGGTGAATCATAGAATTGATGAGGGGAAAAGGGTGAGTGGTGCACTTAGGAGTCTGTGGAGATAAAGAACTTTGTCCTTGGAGGCAAAGAGGGGAATGTATGAGAGTATAGTTTTACCAACGCTCTTACATGGGTGTGAAGCATGGGTGATGCATGTTGCAGCGAGGAGAAGGCTGGAGGCAGTGGAGATGTCATGTCTGAGGGCAATGTGTAGTGTGAATATAATGCAGAGAATTCATAGTTTGGAAGTTAGGAGGAGGTACGGGATTACCAAAACTTGTCCAGAGGGCTGAGGAAGGGTTGTTGAGGTGGTTCGGACATGTAGAGAGAATGGAGCGAAACAGAGTGACTTCAAGAGTGTATCAGTCTGTAGTGGAAGGAAGGCGGGGTAGGGGTCGGCCTAGGAAAGGTTGGAGGGAGGGGGTAAAAGAGGTTTTGTGTGCGAGGGGCTTGGACTTCCAGCAGGCATGCATGAGCGTGTTTGATAGGAGTGAATGGAGACAAATGGTTTTTAATACTTGACGTGCTGTTGGAGTGTGAGCAAAGTAACATTTATGAAGGGGTTCAGGGAAACCGGCAGGCCGGACTTGAGTCCTGGAGATGGGAAGTACAGTGCCTGCACTCTGAAGGAGGGGTGTTAATGTTGCAGTTTAAAAACTGTAGTGTAAAGCACCCTTCTGGCAAGACAGTGATGGAGTGAATGATGGTGAAAGTTTTTCTTTTTCGGGCCACCCTGCCTTGGTGGGAATCGGCCAGTGCGATAATAAAAAAAAGAAAGGGGGGGGATTTGAAAATGACCTGGAAAATAATTGTAAATCTTAGGCTCTCAAAAATTAATTGAAACCAGAGAAATTGCTTGTACTAAACCAAATGAACCTCCAGTCTAGCCTATTGAAATAAGTAATAAACCAAATGATTTCTTCTCAACTATGGGGTAATGCCTAGCCAACAAAATCCCCAATTTTAATGTCCCATCTAGTGATTACCCTGCTAGAAATTTCTGAAAGCACATGATATTCCTAACTATTCTTACTAGGTTACTTTGACACTAAATTTTCTGAAAAACCTAGGCAAGACAGCTAACTAACATATATAAGAAAGCAGCTTACTTACAGCTTGTGTAATATTACCTTCCATTGTAACATTGTTTAACAAATTATTAGAAACCAAAACCTTCCCTACCATTTTTAAAATAGCAAGGGTTACATCAATGCATAAAGGTAGAGATTCACCGAATTTTAACAACTGCATGCCAATATCTAACTTACCATTGTTATCTAAAATCTTTGACAAACTAATTCATAAACAAATTTACTCTTTGTAATGAACCCCCTGTCAGTTTGGCTTTAGGTCAGGAAAAATATAAATGATGCAGTAGAAAAAATGTGCAACTTAATTTATATCATCCCCTGAAAATAACAGATAGCCTATGGGTCTCTTTATTGAGCTTAAGAAAGCTTTTGATAAAGTAGACTGTTGTGGTATCAGAGGTCATCCTCTTTTGTACTTAACAACAGACACCAATATGTCTCCCATCAATTACACAACCTTGTCAGTTTGACCTATCACTATAAGGGTGCCTCAGGGCAGTGTCTGTGGCTCTCTGCTATTCCTCATCTACATCAGTGATCTTCCTAATGCATCTCAGGAACTTAAATATGTTCTGTTTGCAGATGACACAACTTTTGTCATCTCTTATTCACACCCTGTTTCTCTCAAAATACTGTTAATGGTGAGCTAGTAAGGACCTTCTATATGAACCTTTGGAAGCTGAGCTAAAAATGCTTAATTCAGTAAAATGATGAATGATTCAGTTATTATAAGACAAGATGAGTGGAAAATTCTTAGGTCCATACCTTGACAGAAATTTAATATTCAACCCTCGCATTCAGCACATATCCGTAGTCACCAAAACAGTGGACGTCCTTTCTAAGATACATTACTATGTGCCTCGAGCAACATTACGTACTTACTCTGTACTATCTAATCTATCCTTACCTCACCTATGGTATTAGTGCATGGGGGATCTATTACAGCAAATCACCTGAAGTCGATAGTAACTCGGCAAATAAGATTCTGTGTGAATGATCACTCGAGCAAGTGCCAGACAACACACACCCCCACTTTAACAGTTTAAACTTGCCATACAAAAAGATTCACTCGTGCTGCTGTGCATACTACTATATATACATACAGGACAATCAATGCAAATGCAGAACCCTGCTCTGAAACTTTCTGGAGAGCTTCAACAGAACTCATAGGCATAATACAAGAAACAAATACCTTTTTGACATCCCCCATGTTAGACTTTACCTGAGTAAAAACTCAATGCACACAAAAGGCCCTAAAATTTTGAACTTTACCAGAAAATTCCAAAGGTTTTTCTATCTGCCGATGACTGCAAAGTTATTGTTTAAAAGCACCTCCTTACCTTAATGTGATTTCTGATGATGTAAACATTTAAACTTATTACAAGAGTTATTATTTATACTATTATTGCAATTAAATTTTTTGTCACCAAAACTTTTTTTTACACACACAAGTTATTACAGTATTTATGATAATCACTGTGCTTCTTTCTACTAACTCCTTATAAATTCATTAAATTCTTATGTACATATATGTAATGTGCCACTTTTTTTTTTTTTACAACTAATTTATTGTAAGTTTAATCTGAAGTATGCTTGAGATGCATTGCATAACTGTGGCTTTTTCCATGTACATGTATGTACTGTACAATAGAACAATATACACACAAGGTAAAGTAATCTTTACTTCTTGACTTGAACCTAATTGCCTCACTAATGTAATAATAATATAAGCTCATAATAATGTGCTTAAACAATTATTGTACAATTTAAAGATAAATAAAGCATTTTGAAATCCAAATTACCACTGAGATGATTATAAGTGACACTTTTTCTTTCTTCTGAAGTGCAACTTCTTGAAAACTTTGTATTACTGAAACATGAAAGCCAATTTCTCTAAACACTACTAGGTATGAATAGTTTCAGGATAATAAATATAATTAAAAAGTTTAAATAGAAATTAATTTGTCAGTGTGGTATTAACCAGTTGGATTAAATTCCTAATATTTTCTGCAGCAAACGCTACTGTTGGGTATGTTATGCGAGTGATGACGATGATGAAACAGCTCCCTGGGTCAAACCATGCAAGTGTAGGGGAACTACAAAATGGGTGAGATATTGTTAAAAGTTCTTTAACTTTGTACATTGGCTGGTGAGTTATTACATGCTATTACTTTAATCATCTGTTACAATTCATGTACATTACACGTACTGTAAGTACTGAAGCATCAAGATTTTGTATATATGTGTATATACTGTTTTCCTTGATGCATGATAGATAACCTTATTGTTTTTACAGCCTGCTATTTGATAAGCTCTTCTCATTAACTCCTGCCTTGGTAGAATGAAATACAGTGGACCCCCGGTTTACGATATTATTTCATTCCAGAAGTATGTTCAGGTACCATTACTGAACAAATTTGTTCCCATAAGGAATATTGTGAATTAGATTAGTCTATTTCAGACCCCCAAACATACACGTACAAATGCACTTACGTAAATACACTTACATAATTGGTCGCATTGGGAGCTGATCGTAAACTGGGGGTCCACTGTATTATGGTACCTTGATTTAACTGGCTGATAAGGGGAATGGGGCATACCTTAAAGCCAATTTGTCCTTCAAATCTGAATGATGACTGTTTTTCCATGATCATAATAATAACAGATAATTCTGGATTTAACAGGCTGTCCATTGTTTCTGGATGTTGTGCAGCCACCAGTCCTGTCTGTTAAATTTGTTAAATTGGTAACATTAAATTGAAATTTTACTGTATTGGAGGCTTTGCAGGCTATTATATTTGTAGTGGAAAGCTTGATGTTACCCTGTTGTCCCATCAGAAGTCTTGGAGTACCCCATTTAAGAACACCACCCTATGTAATAATAATATAATTTAATAATTTTTATTCTTGTGAAAGGATTACAGGTCATACAGAGTTTGGGAGAAGCCCATAATATGCACAGCATTTTGGGCAGAGTTTAACTAAGATTAAACTACTGTACTGTTAATATAATATACATGGTTATGGGGTTTCAGACTTGTGAGTTTAGTTAGTATATACAAGGAATTGACTGGTATGATCTGGTCACAACTCGCAAGAACAAAGAATTGTTGGTTAAAATATTAAACTATGCATACATTAACCCTTTCAGGGTCTGTGCTGTAGTATCATGGCTTTGAGCTCAGTTGTTTATTTATTTATTTATTTATTTATTAATTAATTTGAACATGATACAGAGAAGTACAAAAGATTACAGTTAAATGCAGCATGCCAAAGCCCCTTGTATGCTTAGCATTACGGGCTGGCTTAAAATTAACTTAAGATTAACTAAGCAATGAAGTATTCAGTAGTAAAACATTATTGTAAACAGATAACAAGCACAAATGAGTATTACAAAAACAGGTCGTATGGTTGCTTGCATTGCTGTACAAACAGTATTTATTTATTTATTTATTTATTTATTTATTTATTTATTTATTTATTTATTTAATTTGAACATGATACAGAGAAGTAAGGAATACAAATTTTAAAGTGCAGTATGCCAAAGCCCCTTGTATGCAGAGCATTATGGGCAGGCTTAAAATTAACTTAAGATTAACTAAGCAATGATATATTCAGTGGTATAAAAATTATTGTAAAACAGATAACAATTTAGTACAAATGAGTATTACAAAGACAGTTCATATGGTCATTTACTGTGTTGCTGTGTAATCAGTAGAATGGAGTATTCTGTTAGGTAATGAAGTTAAATAGTAACAAAGTTTGATTGGGTCACAGGTTGACATTTATGAGATACAATAATGAGATACATATATGAGATACAATTTATGAGATACAATTATTCAGTATTTATTTAGTTGTGGGTGAGTAAGTGATTTTTGAGAAGAGACTTGAATTTATAAACAGACATTGTTTCTTTTATATTCACAGGTAATGAATTCCAAATTTTAGGGCCTTTTATGTGCATTGAGTTTTTGCATAGCGTGCGATGGACACGAGGAACATCAAAGAGTGATCTGTGTCTTGTGTTATGGTCATGTGTTCTGTTGAGGTTGGTAAGGAGATGTTTGAGGGGAGGGTTTATGTCAGAGTTAAGTGTTCTATGTATGTATGTAGTAGGTGCAGTAATAAGTATGGATGTTTTGTATTGTAAGTAGGGTTAGAGTTTTGAATATTGGTGGAGTGTGCTGTCTGTAGTGGGAATTTATTATCATTCTGACTGCAGCCTTTTGTTGGGTGATTAGTGGTCTGAGATGGTTTATTGTTGTTGAGCCCCATGCACAAATTCCATAGGTGAGATAGGGGTAAATAAGTGAGTGATATAGGGCCAGGAGGGCTGATTGCGGAACATAGTACCGTATCTTCGATAGTATGCCTACGGTCTTGGAAATTTTTTTGGAAATTTGTTGTATATGTGTTTGAAATTTGAGTCTATTATCAAGGTGGATTCCTAAGAATTTTCCCTCTGTGAGTTTTGTGATAGGTGATCCGTTTATCATTAAGAGACATCTGCAGCTCTGTTACCAAACTGAATGTAGTAGGTTTTGTCAATGTTTAGAGTAAGTTTGTTGGTCCTCATCCAGGTTGGTATTTTCTGTAATTCGGTATTTACAATATTGGCTAGCATGACTGGGCTCAGGTGAGAGTAGACGTATGTAGTGTCATCTGCAAATAGTGTGGGTTTGAGTAGTTGCGATGCATTTGGTAGGTCATTTATGTATGTGAGAAAGAGAAGAGGGCCTAGGACACTTTCCTGTGGGACACCAACTGTAATTGGCTGTGCGGAAGAGTTTGCCCCATTTGTGTACACATATTGGCTTCTGTTGCTAAGGTATGACTTTAGGTAGTTGAGGGAGTGCCCTCTTATACCATAGTGCGACAATTTTACGTGGAGCAAGTCGTGGTCAACTGTATCGAAAGCTTTACGTAAGTCAATGAAGATCCCCAGTGGGACTTTTTTTCTCTATTGCTGTATAAATATGTTCTAGCATGTGGATAATAGCAGCATTAGTATTTTTATTAGGCCTGAACCCAAATTGGCAGGGGTTGAGTATGTTGTGGGAGATGAGGTAGGAATAGATATGCTTATGGATTAATTTTTCAAAGATTTTAGAGAGAGGGTGTAAGTTGGATATTGGCCTGTAGTTATTCAAGTCTGTGTGGTCTCCTCCTTTATGGATCGGGGTGACCCTTGCTATTTTGAGAACTGTAGGAAAGGTAGAGGATTCAATGGATTTGTTAAAGAGTGTTGCAATGATTGGTGATAGCACCTGTGACACTTTTTTGTATATAATGGGTGGTGAGGTATTTAAATCTCCATTCTTGTTATTTAGTTTGTTGATAATAAGGGAGACTTCATTTGGGTTAGTCAGAGCTAGGAACAGTGTGTTCGGGTAGTTGCCAGTGAGGTAGTCATTGGGTGGGGTATCTGAGCTTGGGATTTTATTGGCAAGGTTTTTTCCTATAGTGGAGAAGAAATCATTGAGTCTGTTTGCTGTTTCAGTAGGTAGGAATTGGGGTTCATCTGGTTTTGTTAATTCAATTTCGCTATTTCGTGTTATCTTTTAGTCAAGTAATATTACATGATGAGCTCAGCTCACTCAGATAAGTTGTGAGCAGTAGATTTTTGACCTAGATGTGAGAGAATGGATCTGTGCACTGAGTGTGCATTATATAAAATCCTGCCCCACGCAGTGCATGATGGGAAAACAAGACTGTGACCGTGTGTATGATTTAAAATAGCGCCTTTGTGGTGTATTTTCTGATATTTTTTATGGTTTTATTCTCAGTTTCTTGGTATCATTTGATAGAATGGAAGACATATTACTAAAATAAAGATGATTTTGATTGGATACAGGACGAAGTAGCTTGAAATTGAGCTTGAAGTAGTGGAAATATTTGATTTTTGTCAATATTCCAGTTTTTATTAAGTCTAATTCAATTATTGGGATGCTGTAAACCATGAACAATCTTCCTTGGTTATATATTATTCTAGAAATAGAGTAAATCTTCTAATTTTATTTTGTGAGAATAAGAATTCAAAATAGGAAGCAAGTGTAATATAGATGGCTGGGGACATGACTTATGAATTGAGGAAATGTTTTAGTGCCAGGAATGTCTACATTGTTTATTATGGACTTTATTTTTAAATTTGCCTTTTTTTTGTGTGTGTGAAATTTTTATGGGGGGAATTTTTTTGACACTGAGAACAAGTTTCAGCTCAGGAGTTTGGATCCTTGAAGAGTTAAAATACTATTTGGATGGGCAGGGTGCAAGTCATGGTGCTGTGGAATAATAATAATAGTGATGTGATAAAGGCTAAATATAGTTAATAAATTAAAAATTTGAGTAATTAAAGAGCTTTAGATAGAATTACACAATTGGACTTTTTAAGCAAGATCTTGTTTTAGCTTTAATTTCAATTATTATGTTGCAATTTTTTCTTTCATTTGATAAATTATTTCACATTTTAAGTCCTGTAGGTGCTCAAATGAGTTGCTGTTTGACTTGATACCCAGGTGTTGTATATTTGTCTTAATCATCAATTTGTCAGTGTTGTATACCATCATTAAATTAATATAACAGATAGGCCTAGCAAATGTTAAACATAAAGGGATTCATTTGAATATGGTCATTCCTAAATTATCTTCTTTTTGTCATGGGTACTATTTAAATGTATACAATATTTCAGTTTTTAATGAACATTACAGATTCTAAATAATTCCCATAGGTTCACCAGTCATGCCTGCAACGGTGGGTGGATGAAAAGCAGAAAGGCAACTCTACGGTTAAGGTCAACTGTCCACAGTGTGGGGTTGAATATTTCATTGCCTTCCCTAATATGGGTAAGTTTACTCTGGTGCCCTAAAAGGCATTTTTTTTTTCTACATTCATCATTTCCCATTATGGCAAGAGTAACCTAAAGAAAGAAACAACTTTCTCCATCACTCATTTGGTGCATGTATTGCTAGAAGTTATAGGTAGTAGGTTGGTAAACAGCAACCACCCAGGGAGGTACGTACTACCATCCTGCCAAGTGAGTGTAAAGCAAACGCCTGTAATTGTTTTACATGATGGCAGGATTGCTGGTGTCCATTTTTCTGTCTCGTGAACATGCAAGGCTTCAGGTACATCTTGCTACTTCTACTTACACTTAGGTCACACTACACATACATGTACAAGCATATATATACACACCCCTCTGGGTTTTCTTCTATTTTCTTACTAGTTCTTGTTCTTGTTTATTTCCTCTTACCTCCATGGGGAAGTGGAACAGAATTCTTCCTCCATAAGCCATGCATGTTGTAAGAGGTGACCAAAATGCCAGGAGCAAGGGGCTAGTAACCCCTTCTCTTGTATATATTACTAAATGTAAAAGGAGAAACTTTCGTTTTTCCTTTTGGGCCACCCCGCCTCAGTGGAATATGGCCGATGTGTTGAAAGAAAGATAGCTAGAAGTGCATGGGCATGCAATTGTAACATTGCGACGTACTCCTAGAAATGCAAGCATTTTAGTTCTCACCCCCAAAACTCAGGTTAATCTTGACTAACATGTTTTAAATTCTGTTATAATTGGCAGCTGTTTGTTTGTAGTGCATTACATATTTAACAGTACCTAGAAATAAGTATTATTTGTAGACAGTATACTGGTATAAAAACTGTAAAAATGTAATGCCATATTTGTACCTTAAATCACTCAGAAAAGGTAAATGTGGGTTAACTTTCAATAAAAGTAATTTTAAATTTCTTTCTTTATCTAATTTATGTAGATTATATGCACATAACATTTTCTGTCATAAGAAGCAGCTGCTACAATTGTAGGCTGTGCATTTAAAATTTATTAATATACAGTAGTCCCCCTGTATGTGTGGGGGATACATTCCAAGACCTATCATAGATACCTGAAACCATGGGCAGTACTGAACCCTACATATGTCATTTTTTGTTTACATACATACCTATGATAAAGTTTAATTGATAAATTATGCACAGTAAGTGAAGAATTAGCACTTTTTCACTGATGGGAAGTGGCTTCTTATAGGCTTTGAAAATTGCAATCATCAATACTTTTGTGCTTTGGTGCCATTATTAAGCATAATTAAAGCATATTTTTGGGCCACAGTAAACCATGGATAACTGAAACTGCGGAAATTAAATCTGCAGATACAAGGGCTCTGCTGTATGCATGCTGTAATACAGTAAACTCGAATAAAGCATGAGTCAGTGAACCATGTGTTCTTAGTACTACACTGCTGTTATATTTTGTCACAGCCATTTTTTTCCAACTTAGGGTGACCCAAAGAAGGACACATTCATCATCATTCATTCAATAGCTGCCTTGCCAGAAGTGCATGGACATCAGTTAATTTGACCCTTCGAACTGATACTTCTCTACTATGCTTAATATGAAAATTTATTGCATGAATTCTTAAGGAAAAGGAGGTTATTATTCCAAGGCCTGATGTGAATAATTTTATTATAATTTTTAGGAGTTTATGCAGCAAAAAATATGCAAAACTATGTAGCTAGAAATTGTAGTATGTATGTATGTACAGTGGAACCCTGGTTTTTGAACTTAATCCGTTCCAGAAGGTCGTTCAAAAATTGAAACGTGTGAAAACTGAAACAATATTTCCCATAAGAAATAATGTAAATACAATTTATCCTTTCCTGACACCCAAAAATATTCACAAAAAATTCAATTTTTAACCCTTTCAGGGTCCGTCCCGTAGATCTACGGCTTTACGTTCAGGGTCCAAACCGTAGATCTACGTCATGAGCTCAGCTCACTCTGATAAACTGTGAGTGGTACATTTGGGCCTAGATATGAGAGAATACATCTATGTGGTATGTGTGCACCACATAAAACAGATCCTGCAGCACACTGTGTATAATGAGAAAAAAAAAACTGAAATCATGATTTTTCAATTAAAACAGCGACTTTGCAGTGTTTTTTCGTATGTTTTTTATAGTTGTATTTGCGATTTCTTGGTCTCATTTGAAAGAATGGAAGACATATTACAGAAATAGAGATGATTTTGATTGGTTTTAGCACTGGAAATGGCTTGAAACTGAGCTCAAAGTAGCGGAAATGTTAAATTTTTGCCGGTATTCAAGAGTAAACAAACGACCTCCCACATCTAATACATGCCAGCTGGTGGGTCTAATATACATTCACAAATATGGTGATGATATTTATACAATTATTACAGTATTGCATAACAGTAAATCTTCTGTTTTTTGGTGTGAATAAAAATTCATTATGTGAATAAAAAATCAAAATGGAATTTATTTGTAAAGCCTCAAAACATAACTAATGAACAGAGGAAATGTTAGTTTAGTGCCAGGAATGCCTACATTGTTCATTCTGGACCCTATTTTGAAATTGGAATATTTTGAACTTTGTGTTAAATTGGCCAAATTAACAATTTCCGATCACTTTATTTTGTAGTTGAAACAGTTGACTTGGCGATTTCTTGTGCTCAATCGATAGAATAGAAGTAATACTAGTGAAATAGCTAAGAATTTGGTTGACTGGAATAATGTAATTGGCCTAAAATGGGAGTCAAAGTCGGCAAAATCGCCGATTCATAAATATCGCTGACACATCAAAATTCGCGAGAGCATAATTTCGTCAATTTTCCATCAAATTTTGTACTTTTTGTTTTATTACCTTCACAAAAAGATTCTCTACCATTTCATAAGAAAAAATAACAAATTTTTTTTTTTGAATATTCTTGGACACTGGGGGCACCACTTCAGATTTGGGCCTTGGACCCTGAAGGGGTTAAAGAATATGATACTAATATCAACTCTACGGCTTATTTATCTATCACAATTGATCTAATATGACATAAATAATATAAATAACATAGAAACCTGATATACACTCTAGAATGAATAAAATATGTCATTACGTATGTGGCTAGTGGTGGCGGAGGCGGAGAGTTTGTTTGGAGGCCGGACAAAATGCTTCTTCAGTATTCATATTCATTCATATAGTTTATTTGGACATGATACATAGTTGTACAAGGAATTATAGTAGTTGGTTGTACATGCCAAAAGCCCCTTGTATGCAAAGCATTATGGGCAGGCTTAAAATTAACTTAAAATAAACAAGTAATGAAAGGTTCAGTGGTAAAAATTACCGTAAACAATTTACAATATGAAGTACATACAATTCAGTATTTGAAACAATGAAATTTGAACATTTCAATATTGAAACATTATAGTTGTACAAATTTGTTGCATTACAATGTATAACAAACATGATGATCAATTTACTGTATGTTGTCTTGAAATTTTAAGATTTAAGTAATTGTGAGATTTATTGGTAATATTAAATATTGAGTGTTGATTATTTAGTCCTGGGTGAGTAAGTGGTTTTTTAGAAGAGTCTTAAATTGGTTTTCAGGCCTGGTTACTTAAGTAAGTTTTGGTAATGAATTCCAGATTTTGGGGCCCTCTATGTTCATAGAGTTTTTACAGTGTGATATGGATATGGGGTACATCAAAAAGAGATCTGTGTCTTGTGTTATGTTCGTGTGTCCTGTTAAGGTTGGTGAGGAGAAGTTTGAGTGGAGGGTTTATGTCTGCGTGTATTGTTCTATGTATGTAGTAGGCACATGAATAAATAAAGAATATGACACTCATATCAACTCTACGGCTTATTTATCTATCACAATTGATCTAATCCTCCATGGGGAAGTGGAACAGAATTCTTCCTCCGTAAGCCATGCGTGTTGTAAGAGGCGACTAAAATGCCGGGAGCAAGGGGCTAGTAACCTCTTCTCCTGTATATATTACTAAATGCAAAAGGAGAAACTTTCGTTTTTCCTTTTGGGCCACCCCGCCTCGGTGGGATACAGCCGGTGTGTTGAAAGAAAGAATTGATCTAATATGACATAATAAACAATAGTAATAACATAGAAACCTGATATACACTCTAGAATGAATAAAATATGTCAATATGTATGTGGCCACTGGTGGCTGAGGCAGAGAGTTTGTTTGGAGGCAGGACAAAATAATTCTTCAATATGACACTCGTATCAACTCTGGCTTATTTACCTATCACAATTGATCTAATATGACATAATAAACAATATTAATAACATAGAAACCTGATATACATTCTAGAATGAATAAAATGTCATTATGTATGTGGAGTGGTGGTGGTGGTGTTGGGTTTATAAGGGCCACTGAGAGCATAAGCCGTATAGTAGTGGTGGTGGTGGCGGCGGTGTTCTCAGTGGCCCTATATACCTCAAACAACAATGGAGGAGTCAAGTTTCGTGTCGTCATTTTTCTATCGCTACACTTTATCGCTGGCTGGCGCTATAGCTTTTATCGACTCCTGCTGCTTTAGTATCGTACATATCGTAGAATCACTGAAAAAAACACATTCTCCTCTCTCTCTCTCTCTCTCAGTCCTTTGCCACTGGCACTAGGAACTTTCTTTGGGCCCATGGTGGCTTATTTTGCAGTCACAATCAATAAACAAGCACAGAAATTGCGAAGTGTTTCGGATGAATGCTCACGCAACCAGTGACAGAGCCAGACTGAAGTGGCGTCCTGGCAGGTGGACGCATCTGATATATGTGATTTCTGGATCAAGGTCCAATATCTGGAGCAAAATTTCGCACAAAAAATGGTTCTAAAACTGAATCGTCCAGTAACTGGGGCGTGTGAAAACCGGGGTTCTACTGTACTTGTATTGGAGAGACCTCTCACTCATCCACCCATCTTTGTCTTCTTCAGACAAAACATTTCAGCAGAAATTAAGCACCACTGCATCTGAGGGTTGAATGAGTGATGGTAAATGTGCCGCCTTCTTGGGAGTCACTCAATCTTGGTGGGAAACAGCCTGTTTAGTTTAAAAATAAAAGAACATTTTTGCAAGATTGCATTTATGTATGATTGTGCTGTATTTTTCTGTATTTTCTTTTCAGGTCAGTTAATGTTGTTTTTGGATAGAGTGGATGCTTTTATATACAAAGTCTGTCCATTTGTGGCTGCTGGTGTTGTTGTTGGGTCAATCTACTGGACTGCTGTAACATATGGTGCCATCACTGTCATGCAGGTACATTTACACATACTCATGTTTCAAAATTTTATTATTCTAAATATATTTTACCACATCATAATGGAGTAAGTATTAATCCATTTTTAAGACTTAATTATAAGTGTCAGAAAATTTTAAATAATCAGTCTTCATAATTGCAAGTTTCAGAAAATTTTAGATAAAAATCTAGCCAGTCTTCACACTGAATTACCATTATGATTTTTGGTTAAGAATTTTGATGAAGTTAGTAATACACCTATCATCCAACTTATGACCTGCTCGACTTACGACCGTGTTTTTTATGCCAAATTTCTGGGAAATAAACAACTATTTGTGTTGTATACAGTGTTTATCCTAAACCTTACAGTATAAAATACAGTACTAACAACATAAAAAGTAAAGTAAAACATGAAATACCAAAATAAAACAAAATAAAGTCATTGCAAAAATGTTTTGTTGATATTCAGTAGTAAAGTTCGACTTACGACCATTTCGACTTATGACCGGTTTCTCGGAACCAAACTCGGTCGTAAGTCGGATGGTAGGTGTATATACCTTATTTTATATCGTCTTCTGTTGGCATTTTCCCAGAATGGAATGTGATTTTTTTTTACGTAATTTTGGGTCGAGTGTAACCTGGTCCATCCTCGTGGAAAGAAATTTCAGGAATAGTCTATATAAAATCGAGCAGAGGACACCTGCACGTCAGTTACTCCACGAACCTTAACCTAGTAATAGTTAACAAGGGGTGAAAATTTTAAGCCAATTTTTTAAGGTGTTTTGAAGTTATAAACTGAGGTATTGGAGTAAGTTACACAGCTTACAATGGGATGGCTTTAGTATTATGTTCAGTATTTAAGGACTTGCTAACACTCATCAACTCGTGAAAATTGAAAATGATATAAAATGGTGAGTTTTCATTGTTTTTTATTTTTTCTCCCAACAATCCTCTAAGAAAATCATTTCATTTTAGATTTGGATTTTATGGATTGCAATAGAGATAATATTTTGAAGCTGATAAGATGAGGCACACACTAGTTATTGAATGAAAACCAGTATCACTATTTTGTAAAATGGCAAATTGGGATTTATGTGGCCCATCAACAATGCAAACCTTGTTTTCTGGAAAAATCCCATGGCTGACAATTTGATGTTGGTCAGAAGAGGCATTCTTTGGCTAACATATGGATTGCAACAATTCCAAGTTTTATATATAAAAAAAATGGTGCATTGACAGGTTTGCCTGCATACAAACTAAAATGCATCAGACATTAAATATTGAAGAAATATAGAAGAGTCAGACTTGAATATATTTAACTTGATTTAGTGGGAATGAAAACTTTACACTATTTTTCACCTAAACTTGGCAGATGTGTACCTAAACACTTGAATTTAATTGCTGCCGTTGTTGAATTAGGAAGCAACATTTATGACCATTTGAAGTTAAACTGCAGAGGTTTTGGAAGTAACTGGAACTATTCCAGGATGCTGGGAGTGGGTTCAATAACTTTGGTCATATAGCACATGCACATGCCAATTGTTCCTAGATTCTTGGTCTTGTAGCCATACACCAGCATGTAAAATTTAAAGAAAATTGGATGAAGTCTTCTCTTGTTAGGAGTACAATGAAAAGTTGGAGGATGGAAAAAATAATACTGGCAACCACTTAAAGGAGTCCCTTGATGGATACCTTATTAACTGACTTTGTGTATACTCATATTCTCATTATACTGGTTTGCATTATTTAAGGAGCAAGCTGATTAACATATGTTGTATAACGTTTACATTTGCACTAATTTAACACTGAAACTGACTTATGATGCAATATATTTACTGAAGAATGAGACACTTGTGCAACTTTTGGGACTCTTTATTGAATATACATTTTGCCAGCAAGTTTCTTCTTCAGTCTAATACTACAGAGAAGAGTGGAGAAAGATGAGGAGTTTGAGGTAATCAGTTCCTTGCTTGAGTCTGTGTTTAATCTAACCATTTACATCACAATGTATTTTGCTGTATCTCAGATTATCCTGTTCACCCACAGAAACTAATTTGTTTTATTTCTTTAAAAATGTTTTAAAGTTTAATTTTACACCATCAGGTTGTTGGGTACCAGGAAGGTATGGCACTGATGGAACAAGCTGATCCACTGGTTCTCCTGGTGGGACTGCCTACAATTCCTATTTTCCTTATCTTAGGCAAAATGGTTCGTTGGGAAGATAAAGTACTTGGACTTATTAGGGCCTCAGTTCAAAGACTTCCCTTCTTAAAATACCTTCTCCCTGCATTCAGGTGAGTTACAAAGAAGATCACTGATAGCTGTTATGCATGTGAAGGTTTTCTAACCAGATTTCATGAAAATGTTCTAATCAGAATTAAATGTGCAGTATATTGTATGCTTTATGTCTATTAGCTGAACTCTCTGGAAGAATTTTATTTCCTCGATTTGAGAAAGTGCTATGCTGCATGTTGTATCCATTACTGTGATGTGATTTGACAGGAAGAATTCAAGTCATTAAGAATAACATAAATTCCAGCTCATTAGAGTGAAACTTCAGTGTACTGAACTAATAGGGGGAAAGGGGGGCATTTACTTAATTAAAAAGCTTTTTTTTTTTTTTTTTTTGAAGTACCTGGTGAAGTGGATCAGGTCCTCTGCATTGATAACATTACTGGGTATGGACAAATACCTCATGCAGTGGACTTAGTCAGTTACATCCACAACATTACCAGTCATAGTAAGAATAAACTGTAATACAGTAAATTACTTGAAAATAAAAGTTAAATACTTTAAAGTACAGTCTTTTTTCTTAACTTCTCTGGTAGGTAAATGAACTTAAACTAATTCCTTTGTGTCTTGGGCCATTTTCATAGGCTTTTTAGACCAATTGATAAATTGTTTTTATTTGGCTAGCTGCTTCACTGAAATTAATAACATATGCTTTAGGTTTGTACTTGCTTCTTTAGATATCGGATGCTTCTTTAACATACTCATCAAAACAAGTGTCATCAACATGCCATACTTTACTTTCCTTATTAGTTAAAGTTTCTGCTTTACACTCAGATTCACATGCTTCTTGGCATCTTTATTTCTTTCAAGGCTGTCTTAATAGCATTGTTTGTCATATATCACTAATAGTTGTAAATCCAGTAAAAATTGGAGACCAGCTGACAGTAGTAGGTGTGAGTGTGCATACAGACTAAGACAAACTGAGGTAGGCAAGGCCATTGGCTCTTCTCTCATGGGAACAACAGAAACTGATGCGGCTACTCTAGCCTGTACCTGATAAACGTACAGTGCAGCAGACTAAGTCCACTGCTTTGATAACACTACCAGGCACTCCAGTTCAGCACATTTGTTGAGCTTTTGTCTGGCCCTATATTTTTGTTCGTTTTATCTGAATTCTATTGCATTTGGGTTCATTAAACTGGGGTTTTATACTAGTTTGTTTCATGAACATTTATATTCTTACCTCAAGTTTTTAAGAAAATACAGCATGCCATTTCTTAATCTGCCAACATTTAATTACTGTACTGTACATATTAATACATTTGCAATTGGTGCAGATAATGTACTCAAAACTACAGCATCATTACCCATTCCTAAACTAGAATACCTCTAATAAGCATTTCTTATCCTTCTTCATAGATATGAAGAGCCAGCAGGAGTGAGTACAACAGCGGTAATAAGTGATCCAGTTAATGCAACGAGGGTGCTCTGTGGTGCTCTCTCACTGCCAACCCTTGCCACAATTGTGGGAAGACTCTTCTTCCCATCTGCTCATGATAATCTTACCAGAACTTTGCTTGTAGGTATCCACATGTAAATACTATCAGATTTTTCTCTGAGATACAGGAACAAGATTAATAGCTGGGAAGGGGGACAAAAGAGATTGTAAAAATTATAGAGGAATTAGTTTCCTGAGTATACCAGGAAAAGTGTATGGTAAGGTTATTATTGAAAGAATTAGAGGTAAGACAGAATGTAGGATTGCAGATGAGCAAGGAGGTTTTAGAGTGGGTAGGGGTTTATGTAGGTGTTTACGTTGAAGAATATATATGAACAGTATTTAGATAAAGGTAGGGAAGTTTTTATTGCATTTATGGATTTAGAAAAGGCCTATGATAGAGTGAATAGGAGAGCAATGTGGCAGATGTTGCAAGTACACCTATCATTCGACTTACGACCGAGTTCGGTTCCGAGAAACCGGTCGTAAGTCGAAATGGTCGTAAGTCGAACTTTACAACTGAATATCAACAAAACATTTTTATAATGACTTTATTTTATTGTTTTTTTTTTTTGGTATTTCATGTTTTACTTTACTTTTTATGCTGTTAGTACTGTATTTTATACTGTAAGGTTTAGGATAAACACTATGTACAACACACAACAACAGTTGTTTATTTCCCAGAAATTTGGCATAAAAAACACGGTCATAAGTCGAGTGGTCATAAGTCGAGCAGGTCGTAAGTCGGATGGTAGATGTATATGGAATAGGTGGTAAGTTACTAAATGCTGTAAAGAGTTTTTATGAGGATAGTGAGGCTCAGGTTAGGGTGTGTAGAAGAGAGGGAGATTACTTCCAGGTAAAAGTAGGTCTTAGACAGGGATGTGTAATGTCACCATGGTTGTTTAATATATTTATAGATGGGGTTGTAAAAGAAGTAAATGCTAGGGTGTTCGGGAGAGGGGTGGGATTAAATTATGGGAAACCAAATACAAAATGGGAATTGACATGTTACTTTTTGCTGATGATACTGTGCTTATGGGAGATTCTAAAGAAAAATTGCAAAGGTTAGTGGACGAGTTTGGGAGTGTGTGTAAAGGTAGAAAGTTGAAAGTGAACATAGAAAAGAGTAAGGTGATGAGGGTATCAAATGATTTAGATAAAGAAAAATTGGATATCATATTGGAGAGGAGGAATATGGAAGAAGTGAATGTTTTCAGATATTTGGGAGTTGACGTGTCAGTGGATGGATTTATGAAGGATGAGGTTAATCATAGAATTGATGAAGAAAAAAAGGTGAGTGGTGCATTGAGGTATATGTGGAGACAAAGACTGTTATCTATGGAGGCAAAGAAGGGAATGTATGAAAGTATAGTGGTACCAACACTCTTATATGGGTGTGAAGCTTTGGTTGTAAATGCAGCAGTGAGGAGACGGTTGGAGGCAGTGGAGATGTCCTGTGTGGTGTAAATATTATGCAGAAAATTCGGAGTGTGGAAATTAGGAGAAGGTGTGGAGTTAATAAAAGTATTAGTCATAGGGCTGAAGAGGGATTGTTGAAGTGGTTTGGTCATTTAGAGAGAATGGATCAAAGTAGAATGATATGGAAAGCGTATAAATCTATAGGGGAAGGAAGCTGGGATAGAGGTCGTCCTCGAAAAGGTTGGAGAGAGGGGGTTAAGGAGGTTTTGTGGGGGAGGGGGCTTGAACTTCCAGCAAGCGTGCGTGAGCATGTTAGATAGGAGTGAATGGAGACAAATGGTATTTGGGACCTGACGAGCTGTTGGAGTGTGAGCAGGGTAGTATTTAATGAAGGGATTTCAGGGAAACCAGTTATTTTATATAGCCGGACTTGAGTTCTGGAAATGGGAAGTACAATGCCTGCACTTTAAAGGAGGGGTTTGGGATATTGGCAGTTTGGAAGGATATGTTGTGTATCTTTATACGTACGTATATGCTTTTAAACTGTTGTATTCTGAGCGCCTCTGGAAAAGCAGTGATTATGTGTGAGTGAGGTGAAAGTGTTGAATGATGATAAAAGTATTTTCTTTCTTTTTGGGTCACCCTGCCTCGGTGGGAGATGGCCGACTTGTTAAAAAAAAAAAAAAAAGTTAAAACCCAACTAACTTTTTTCTGAAGTTGTGTGTGAACTCATTCTGAGTTTATTCCTTCTCCTCTCCTCCTGCTGGGTGTTGTATGATCTATACAGGTTTAGCACATGGTTTTGAATATGCTGTAATAATAATCTTCTTTCCTCTGTCTCCTCCTTGAGTCCTCTATGAGGAAAAACATGAGTTTGAGAAACTGTTCATGAGAGAGAAAAAAAGCTCATTGTGTTGAAATTCACAAGTTTAGAAGCCACAAATTTTAAGGGGTTTCTGGAAACTATTCCCTTGTTTTTGAGATGTAAAAGATGCTCTACCTTTTCTTTTTTTTTTTTAGATGTAGTAAAGTATTTTCTGCCTTTTGAGATGCAGTAAATGATTTTCATTGAGATGAGAAAAATAAAATTTTGTATATAAGTGGAAACAACTTTTTGGATATTGATACTAAATATATTGCTTCAACTTAAACATGTCTTTTTTTTTTCAGGGAGGAGCATCATTTTTGGTGGTCAAAGGTCTCTTTAAGGTATATTACAAGCAGCAACAGCATGTGATGCAGAGTAGACGAAAGATTATAGATTATCCTCAGGATCCCTCGACCTCACAGGTCCCCACTGCCAGCACTCCCCAGGCACCACCACCCACACCACAGGAACTTCCCATCACTCCATCATTACTGACTGCTCCACCTTCTTCTAGCCATGAGTCTGAACAACAGTTTTTGCAACAGCAGTAACAATAAATCTGTGAGAAACTTCTTTAGATATTATTTTCTTGATCTATGATATTAAACAGACTGAATACGTATTCATTTATAGTACTGGATTCACAAGTTTAAAAAAGTCATGGTTCTATTTTGTTAAATATGAGATGGATGTTGAAAATACTGTTTACAGGTATCTGTATAAAGAAATCACAGGTCTCCTGATACTTGTGATTTATGGATATTTTAATCACCAACTGGAAACACAGAAGTGACACAAGCATCTTTTACTTTTAGATACTGGTAAGTACACCCTGAGAGGGATTCAAAAGAAGCGAAAGTGAGAACATAAAATGGTGGAGAGGGGTGCAGGTTCCAACAAAAGATAAAACTGTTTGCTGATAAATTAGGTTGATTGTATAGTTGAATAACTTAAAATTTCGGTGAGAGAGTCAATAGCACTATCTGCTTTTAACTTTTGTTTTTAACTTATTGGCCATTTCCCAGTAAGACAGTATAACTTAACCCTTAAACTGTCCAGATGTAGATCTACGTTCACATGCGTAGCATTCCGAACGTAGATCTGTTTTATTTTACATGCTTTCAAATGTAAAATAACGTAGATCTATGTTCAGAGTGCTACGCACGTGAACGTAGATCTATGTTTGGACAGTTTAAGGGTTAAAGAAGGAAACTTTCCGTAACTTATTTCTTAACTACTGTTCCAAAAGTGCACAGACATCACATTTGAAATGTCCCAAGAGAAAAGGGGACTGCACTCCTCACCTCCACACCTAGTCTGGCTAATCTCTTTCTGTGAATTCCTTCATATACGCTACATTGCTTATGTTTTTACCTGTATCTGGTTTAAAGTATATTTGCCAAATCAAAGAAGATTAAAAAGGTAGGGAAATTGACATGCAATTGATGATTAATGGTGTTTGCTTTTGTTTGTTTATAAGGAAAATTGGATACATCAACAGTGTGCTGCTATCCTATTCTGTATGATTGTAGCTAGCCATGTCTTCCTGTCATATTCCATCATGCAGGATGGAACTTGTACTAAGTATTGAAATGTCATCCTCAGCAAAAAAGACACACAAACTACACGTATACAGTATGTAGATTTTTTTTTTTTATAAATTACTTTAATTACACACATTAGATGACAATGGATTATTCAAAATTAATTACTTATGTTGTTTATGATCAAACTTTAAATATACAAGAAAAGGTTTTATGAGAGGAGTAAATAAGCAAACTGATTTGAGCCTCCAGAAACATCATTTAAATCTTAATTTGAATTGTAGGATGACTGAAGGAAACATTAAGTTACTAGAAAATGTGCCTCTGAATCATGCCATGAAGAATTAGCATAAGTGTTAGGAGGCCTAGATGACTTCTAATACAGTATGCTAGGAAGCTGAGTGGACTGCTAATGCAGTGTTAGGAAGTCCAGAGGACTGCTAGCAAATTTGATGTCAGTGAATAAAATAATTTTTTATATTTTTCATGTTTTTCACTTTTCCTAAATAAGAGAGCAACAAGGAAAATGCCCAGGAAGATGCTTAAAAGCTACTTCCACAAGCATTGATCAGTGTCTAATTTGTTTTGCACTGAGCTTAGATTTTTTTAAAATGAATAAAATGTTTAATGGCTTCCTGTCACAGACAAACTACTCTGAATCAAAGCTAGCTACAAGATAGAGCAACAAAGCTGTATTAATTTTATGGAGCTGTATTAGTTTTATAGAGATATATTAGTTTTACAATGCTCTGTTCTCACTTTTGGGGTAAAGGATGTCTCTTTAAAATATCATGGATTTGTTATATCTTTAGAAGAATTTTGTGGAATTTATACCAAAGATCATTTTATTCATGAGATTTCTCCCTAAGATTGTGTAAGCAATTATTATGGTCTGTGATCAATCATGTGTGACCCCTCATTGAATTAGTACATCTTTTTTTGATACTACACTAGAGAATAATAGTCTTCAATCCTTTGACTGTTTTCCTTTGCTGCTTTATCATTTAGGGTATGAAAATATTGGAGCAAAATAGTGCATATACATGATCTTATTCTATCAGTATTGATTTTTGGCTCTTTTTTTTAGAATTCTTGGATCATGTAAAATTTGTAAGCAGTCCTCTGGGCTTCCTAACACATTATGAGTTAATTTCTTTCCTTGCAATTTGATTCGGAGGCCTGGTCTATGGTTAGTTAATGCTACCTTTATCAAATGATTAAAAGAGCAGTAGTGTCGAAGCATTTATTTACAAATACTTAAATGTTATCTCAACATTTGATTTATTTTAAGTTAGATCATAAAATTATTTAAACCTGTTGGTTTTTTACCTTAACTTTTTTCTAGTACAGTATGTGTAATGAAAGCAATTTATATAAAGCATTTATTATTAAATTTGAGGGCAGATTTGCTTAAATATCTTTTGTCAGCTTGTTTGATTTGACAAATGTACATACTCCAAATTAGATAAACTCTGGTACAGGTAATAATACGTACTGAGACTTACATTTACACATGTCTCAATTTTGGTGTGACTATTCAATGATTCTATATTATTAATATTCAGTTTTATATTTTATGTACTGTATTGTAGCACAATCTGCTATACTAAATCCTTCCCTACACACATCTTAAAAATGTCACTTAGAACTGATGAAGAACTGAGTAGTTTGAAATGCTAATTGCTTTCCTGTGCTTCTAGTTGCTAATTGAAACAGTTTATTAAGTATGAGACTTTGTGATTTCCACTCAGTTTATCTAACAAAGCTGTTGTTGCTTTGAAACCCAAAATCACACCCTCTAGCTAAAGTGCCAGACATATACATTATATATTATAATATATGTTCTTTCTGTCAACAAACCAGCCGTATCCCACCGAGGCGGGGTGGCCCACTGAAGTAGGGTGGCCCAAAAGGAAAAACACAAGTTTCTCCTTTTAAATTTAGTAATATATACTGGAGAAGGGGTTACTAGCCCCTTGCTCCCAGCATTTTAGCCGCCTCTTATGACACGCATGGCTCACGGAGGAAGAATTCTGTTCCACTTCCCCATAATGTATATTTCTGGCACTTTAGCTAGAGGGTGTGATCTTGGCTTTCAAAGCAACAGTAGCTTTGGTAGATAACCTGAGTGGAAATTTATTATTGCAGTTATTCCACTAAAAGAAATCTGAACAAAAAATTAGTGTTATATATTTCATTGATCTTAAATAATATGACAACAGACTGACCTTATTTAAGTTGGGCAAGATTAAGCTAAATTATTCAGCAGGTGCTCAGTTATCTGAGCATTTCCATATGATGTAACACATCTTGTATGTTTTATCCAGACACAACAATAAAAGTAACCTGAGCAGTAGATTTCTAAAACTATAAGTAAAAATCTAAACATCTTTGCAAAATTGTACCAAACAAATAGGAACCTACCACACCAATATTAGTTATCCATCTACAGAAACTTCAATAAATAAATAGAAAATTTGAACAAAAGCTTTCAAAAATGTACAGTATATCTCATAATATAGCCCTACATTGTATGATTTTTTTGAACATTGTTGAAAAATAGCTGCATTCTTTTCATAGGGCACTGAAGCCCTTCATATTGTGCTCTGCAGATCTATAAAAAAAAATAGATTATGTGCAAAATTTGGGTAATCTCCATAGCTTTTTACAATCTACTTGCTGGGTCACTGGTGGTGCCCTCACAGCCCCTGGTCTTGCACTCAGCAAGAGCAAGACACTAGACAACAATGTTCTTACTTAAATTTTATTTTCTGAATTATATGTACAGTACCATATGAATGCTTAATTTGTATATTTATATAAATAGTTTGAAAAGAATATTCAGTGCATTAACATCAGGAATACTCTTTGTTAGTAACCCAGAATTGCACATTATTAACCCTTTCAGGGTCCAAGGCCAAAATCTGAAGTGGTGCCCCAGTGTCCAAGAATTTAAAAAAAAAAATTTTTTATTTTTTCTTATGAAATGGTAGAGAATCTTTTTGTGAATGTAATAAAACAAAAAGTACGAAATTTGATGGAAAACTGACGAAATTATGCTCTCGTGAATTTTGATGTGTCAGCGATATTTACGAATCGGCGATTTTGCCGACTTTGACTCCCATTTTAGGCCAATTACATTATTCCAGTCGACCAAATTCTTAGCTATTTCACTAGTATTACTTCTGTTCTATCGATTGAGCACAAGAAATCGCCAAGTCAACTGTTTCAACTACAAAATAAAGTGACCGGAAATTGGTAATTTGGCCAATTTAACACAAAGTTCAAAATATTCCAATTTCAAAATAGGGTCCAGAATAAACAATGTAGGTATTCCTGGCACTAAACTAACATTAACTCTGTTCATTAGTTATGTTTTGAGGCTTTACAAATAAATTCCGTTTTGATTTTTTATTCACATGAATTTTTATTCACACCAAAAAATAGAAGATTTACTGTTATGCAATATTGTAATAATTGTATAAATATCATCACCACATTTGTGAATGTATATTAGACCCACCAGCTGGCGTGTATTAGACGTGTGAGGTCGTTTGTTTACTCTTGAACATCGGCAAAAATTTAACATTTCCGCCACTTTGAGCTCAGTTTCAAGCCATTTCCAGTGCTAACACCAATCAAAATTATCTCTATTTCTGTAATATGTCTTCCATTCTATCAAATGAGACCAAGAAATCACAAATACAACTATAAAAAACATACGAAAAAACACTGCAAAGTCGCTGTTTTAATCGAAAATCATGGTCTCAGTTTTTTTTCTCTCGTTAAACAGTGTGCTGCAGGATTTGTTTTATGTGGTGCACACATACCACATAGATGTATTCTCTCATATCTAGGCCCAAATTTACCACTCACAGTTTATCAGAGTGAGCTGAGCTCATGATGTAGATCTACGGTTTGGACCCTGAACGTAAAGCCGTAGATCTACGGGACGGACCCTGAAAGGGTTAAAATTACACATTCCTTTGTACTATTCTAGCTGTATCTCTACAGTTTTTGAAGACATTGGTGATTGATAATGAAGTGAGGAAAAAGTTAATAAACGAGAAAGTTGTGTAGTGGAGGTATGTTCTTCACTGAGTCGCAGCCATGATACAATCATTTGCGTTGCTGATTTATAGGGTTGTACTGAGCCATAGTCAGCACCTCTCCATATCTGTGAAACACAATCTCCTTCACTAGTGAGAGCAGTGTTTGTTCAGCTTAACCAATTGCTGCCCTTAAAAACATCAACAACAGTCCAAATACGTTCATCTTTAGTACTACACGTTTGTTATGTACAGTATAAGTGTGGTAAGTTCCTATATGTTTGTTACAATTTACTAATGAAATGTGGTATTTATTTTTTACCATTGTCAAATTATTGACGAGCAGAGCTGTTTTTGCCTCCTGACATTTTTGTGTTAGACTTTTTGTTTGCTTTAGTTTTAACAAACGCATTTATCTTTGGTATAAGTTCATTTGGTATAGATGTTGCTAGTTTCTATATGTTTGGTACAGTTTTGTAAGTAAATGTGACTTTTATTTTTATGATGTTTACATGTTTACCTAGTGATGAGTTAATAAGCCATGATGCATCCATCTTCACTTAGTAGGACCACATCAACCCTCTCCACATACTTCTGTCTTAACAGCAGCATCTCTTACAGTGTAAGGTAAGATAAAATTTAAAATGTTCACATATTATGGTACAGATATTTAAAAATGTTTGGCACTTTTCAAGGTGTCTGGAATGTAACCCTATTTTTTCCTATATGTTCTTCATTTTAACCCTTAAATGGTCCAAACGTATATACAGTGGTCCCTCAATAATCGTAGTTCTCGGGAATCGTAGATTTCGGAAATCATAGGGATATTTTCGTGTAAACATGGGCTCGCTAATCGTAGGTTGACTCGCAAATAGTAGGTCGTCCGGGACACGTACGCACGGTGTGAGCCGGGGCGGCCTCCCTACCCAGCCAGTGTGGCATTGTTTACCAGTGAGCGAAGGTCCCCTCACGTGCTCGTACGAAATATTTCATAATATTCCACTCATTTTAGTGCTTGCAAGTACTAAATAAGTTTTGAGTTTGGAGGATGTGGAAGACTTGGTGGAAGACCACAACAAAGAGCTCACCACTGAGGAGCTGCAAGAGCTTCAGCAGGAACAGCAACAGATCGCAGCTCAGAATCTTGCTGCAGAGGAGGAGGAAGAGAGATGGAAGAAGGTGCCTTCTTCAGAAATTAAAGAGATTTTTGCTATGTGGGGTAAGATGGAAAGATTTATGGAGAAACATCACCCTGACAAGGCTGTTGCAAGCCATGTTGGCAACATGTACAGTGACAAAGTCTTGGGCCACTTTAGGGAAGTGTTAAAGAGACGCCAGAAACAGAGCTCTCTCCACAGTTATTTTGTGAGACAGGACTCCAGTGACTCTCAAGCTGGTCCTAGTGTCATTAAGAAACAGAGAAGAGAAGCAACCCCAGAAAAGTAATTGGTACCTGAGGTGTTGCTGGAAGGGGATTCCCCTTCCAAACTGTAAACAATCCAATCTCTCTCCTCTTCCAATCTCCCATACACTTAAGAAGAATCTCCGATAAAGGTAAGTGTTATGCAGTTAATGTTTCATTCATTTCCCATTGTATTGTTTATGTACTACATCTATATTTCATGTAAAAAATTTTTTTGTTTTAATACTTCTGGGTGTCAGGAACGGATTAATTGCATTTACATTATTTCTTATGGGGAAAATTGATTCGAAAATCGTAGATTTCAATAATAGTAGCAACTCCAGGAACGGATTAACTACGAAAAACGAGGGACCACTGTATACGTTTTTTCAACATCTGAAGGTATGTAAAAAAATGTAGATCTTTTTTGTTTTACATTTGAAAACGTGTAAAAAAACTTTTATCTACATTTTTTTTTTTTGTTATATTTGAAAATATGTAAAGAAAGTAGATCTTCTGTTGGAGCACTACGAATTTGAACGTCGACCTGTTTGGACCGTTTAAGGGTTAAAGTAATGCTATTTATATTTACATAAGAAGAAAAGGGTTACTTTACTATAAAGAGGAGAAAAGAGTATAGGATTATACAGGACCCTAAAGATGACTAAGAGCCTCTGATATTCAGATTCATTTAAAAGGAATGCATTATTTGTTACCTTTCTATTTTTTTTTTTTTTTTTTTTTTTTGTGGCACATTTATCACCTTAGGTTGCATATCAAAGCTGTCCATTGTTTTACCAGCCATTTCTATTTTGCCCACTCACTTGAAATTTCCCAAAAACAGTTGAACTCTGTAATTCATGAGATTTTGATTCCCAAAAGACAAGGTGAATCTTTAAGCAGAGAGCACTAGGAAATTTCACCTTCCCGAATTATTTAAACTTTTTGACCATACATATGTTAATGTATATGTTAATGTATGAAAGAGGGGAAGGTATCTAGGGATTGGCAGCGAGCATGTATAGTCCCTTTATATAAATCGAAGGGGGACAAAAGAGATTGTAAAAATTATTGAGGAATAAGTTTACTGAGTATACCAGGAAAAGTGTACAGTAGGGTTATAATTGAAAGCATTAGAGGTAAGACAGAATGTAGGATTGCGGATGAGCAAGGAGGGTTCAGAGTGGGTAGGGGATGTGTAGATCAGGTGTTTACATTGAAGCATATATGTGAACAGTATTTAGATAAAGGTAGGGAAGTTTTTATTGCATTTGTGGATTTAGAAAAGGCATATGATAGAGTGGATAGGGGAGCAATGTGGCAGATGTTGCAAGTACATGTATATGGGATAGGTGATAAGTTACTAAATGCTGTAAAGAGTTTTTATGAGGATAGTGAGGCTCAGGTTAGGGTGTGTAGAAGAGAGGGAGACTACTTCCCGGTAAAAGTAGGTCTTAGACAGGGATGTGTAATGTCACCATGGTTGTTTAATATATTTATAGATGGGGTTGTAAAAGAAGTAAATGCTAGGGTGTTCGGGAGAGGGGTGGGATTAAATTGTGGGGAATCAAATACAAATGGGAATTGACACATTTGCTTTTTGCTGATGATAATGTGCTCATGGGAGATTCTAAAGAAAGTTGCAAAGATTAGTGGATGAGTTTGGGAGTGTGTGTAAAGGTAGAAAGTTGAAAGTGAACATAGAAAAGAGTAAGGTAATGAGGGTATCAAATGATTTAGATAAAGAAAAATTGGATATCAAGAAGAAGTGAATGTTTTCAGATACTTGGGAGTTGACGTGTCGGCGGATGGATTTATGAAGGATGAGGTTAATCATAGAATTGATGAGGGAAAAAAAGGTGAGTGGTGCGTTGAGGTATATGTGGAGACAAAAAACATTATCTATGGAGGCAAAGAAGGGAATGTATGAAAGTATAGTAGTACCAACACTCATATGGGTGTGAAGCTTGGGTTGTGAATGCAGCAGCGAGGAGACGGTTGGAGGCAGTGGAGATGTCCTGTCTAAGGGCAATGTGTGGTGTAAATATTATGCAGAAAATTCAGAGTGTGGAAATTAGGAGGTGTGGAGTTAATAAAAGTATTAGTCAGAGGGGTTGTTGAGGTGGTTTGGTCATTTAGAGAGAATGGATCAAAGTAAAATGACATGGAGAGCATATAAATCTGTATGGGAAGGAAGGCGGGGTAGGGGTCGTCCTCGAAAAGGTCGGAGGGAGGGGGTAAACAAGATTTTGTGGGCGAGGGGCTTGGATTTCCAGCAAGCGTGCGTGAGCGTGTTAGATAGGAGTGAATGGAGACGAATGGTATTTGGGACCTGACGATCTGTTGAAGTGTGAGCAGGGTAGTATTTAGTGAAGGGATTCAGAGAAACCGGTTATTTTTATATAGCCGGACTTGAGTCCTGGAAATGGGAAGTACAATGCCTGCACTATAAAGGGGGAGTTCGGGATATTAGTAGTTTGGAGGGATATGTTTGTGTATCTTTATAGGTATATGCTTCTAAGCTGTTGTGTTCTGAGCACCTCTGCAAAAACAGTGATTATGTGTGAGTGAGGTGAAAATGTTAAATGATGATGAAAGTATTTTCTTTTTGGGGATTTTCTTTCTTTTTTGGGTCACCCTGCCTCGGTGGGAGATGGCCGACTTGTTAAAAAAAATATATATATAAATTCACAAAATATATCTAATCAATGTATAAGCTCTATGACCCACATGGGTTTAATACATTTTCTTTGAATATACATCAGTAATAAGAATAATAAGAAAAAGAATAACAACAATAATACATAATAACATTAATTTTTTTTAACACATTAGCTGTTTCCTACCCAGGCATGGTGACCTGAAAAAAAAACACTTTCACCATTATTCACACTATCACTAATTATAATTATAATATGAAGGCACAAGGATTTTTTGGTAAAATTTTAAGGCAGTTAGGCTTGTTAAATTGACTGATTAAAAAACACGCACATATATAGTAGGCATCATAAATATGCACTCGCGTCAACAGATCACAGGGAAAATGAG